TTTGCTTTACATACCCTACCATTTTCCTCCTCACTTTCGCTTCTCTTCCTTTTACCTGAACATTGCTCTAGTCTGTGTACTTTTCTTTTTAGCTTCTCTATTTCCTCTTTCATTTCCCTTATCTCCTCCTTGTACTCCTTCATCACCTTCACCATTCGCTCTTCTGCAACCTTCTCTATCGCCTCTTTGTCGATCGCCATTGTTCCCTTGCATATTAGTTTTCTCTCCATCTTTGCTCCTTTACCTCCTGCTTATCTGAAATCAAAAGACACTTATTTAATCTCTCTGCTTAGCTGTCATTGACTCGCTTGCCTTCTTTTCCTTTCTAAATCCGCCATCCACTTCTCTCCTTCACCCTTGCTGTCTAGTATTCTTTTGATTCTTTCGCTAATTCCTTCTTTTTCTTCTCCTTCTTCGTCTCTTGCGCACCATTCTAACACATGCTCCCATGATTCTGCCTCCGCGCCACATATCCTGCAGTTTGTTTTTTCTATTGTATCCCAGTATCTTCCGCTTCTCATCTCGTTACCTAATCTGAACCTCGCTATCCTAATCATAGATTGCTCTTTTCCTTTTCTTTCCAGGTATTCAGGCCTCCTGCTTTCTACTACCTCCTTGTACCATTTGTTGTATCTTGATTCTCTTATCCTTTCGTCCTTCTCTTGAATCTGAATGTCCCTGTCTCTTTCTGTTAATTCCTCAATGCTACTCCACCCCTCCCCTCTTTTTCTCTCAATTTCCTTGACTGCATAACCTCTTCGCTCGTAAAAGCTCTTTCTTTCTTCTTCCCATTTTGACTTTTCTTTCCTATCCTTTTCTTTTATTTCCCTCCAGCATTCTCTTGCTATCTCGTTTCTTTCTCCTCTCTCCAATTTTTCTTCATACTTCATCGCCCTTCTACCAGCGCTTATTCTTTCTTTGTCTCTTTTAGTTTCCTCTCTTATCATATATCCGGGCGTGCTCCAGTCCAGGCCTAACGTCCACCTTATATACCTTTCGTGCATTCTTTCTATTTTCTCTCTTTCCTTCCATCCCCATACTTCTGCTCCATATAAGGCTATGCTTGCAACCAACGCATCATATAACTTGATCCTTCTTATCCAGTCTCCTCCAAATAACCTTTTTCCTATTCCCCATACCTGTCTCATTGCTATGGTCGCTTTTCTTACTCTCTCATTTATATGCGCATCTTGTTCTCCGTTCTTTTGGAATATGTAGCCTAGATAGCAGAATTCCTTCACCTCTTCTATTTCTTCTTCCTTCCAACTCCACTTTACTTTCTTCATTTTACCTCCTCCCTTCCTAAATCTCATTACTTTTGTTTTCCCCACATTAACTCTCAGCTTCTTTCTGTCAAAGTATCTTTCTAGTCTTTTCAGCATTCTCTTCATTTCCTCTTCATCCTCTGCTATTGCAACTATGTCATCCGCGTACGCTAACGTCCAGAATTTTATTTTTCCTACAACTACTCCTCCATCTTGTCCTTTCCTCATTGTCTCTTCCATGTCTGCCATCAGAAGTATGAAGAGCATAGCGCTCAGCGGGCATCCTTGCCTAACTCCTTTGACCGTCCAAAAGCATTTTCCTTTTTCCCCTTTTACCCTTACCACACATCTTGTCTCCTCATATAGGCCTTCTATCCTCGTTCTCAATTTCTCACTGATTCCTTCTTTCTTCATGACTTCCCATATTTTTTCTCTGTCTACTGAATCGAATGCGGCTTTCAGGTCTATAAATGCTGCTACCAGTTTCCCTTTCCTCTTGCTTATAGCTTTCCCAATCACATAGTTCAGCGCGTATATATTCTCCATTGTTCCTTTCTTTTTTCTGAATCCTGTCTGTGTTTCTGGTAGCATCCCCTTCTTTTCTACCTCTCTCTCTAGCCTCTTCGCCAAGATTGCTGCATATATTTTGTAACTTGTATTCATTAGCGTCACCCCTCTGTAGTCCTGTGCTTCCTTTCCTTCTCCCTTTTTTACTATTGGCACTATTATTCCTTCTTTCCAATCTTCTGCTATCTCCCCCGTTCTCCATGCTTTGTCACATACCTCCCATATTTTTTCTCTCAGTCTCTCGCCTCCATAGATCCAAATCTCGTTTGCTAGTCCGTCCGTGCCTGCAGCTTTCTTTTCTTTCATTTCTTTAATTACTTCTTCCACTTCTTCTCTTCTTATTCCTTCCTGCTCTTCTTTATTCTCTATTCTTTCCTCTTTCCTCCTATCCTTTTCATACGGCTTCGTCATAACTCCATCCAGTAGTTCGATGAAGTGTTTATTCCACTGCTCCTCCGTTATCTCTTCGCATACCTCTTTCCTGCTTTTCCTTTGTCTGTTTATAAATTTCCATACTTCCGTTTCATTATTTGCTTCTCTCGCTTCCTTCATTACTCTCTCCTTTTCTGATTCCTTTTTTTCTTTTACTTTTTCCTTATATTCCTTTTTCTTTGCTATGTACTTCTTTTTGTCTGTCTCTCCTCTTCTCCACCTCGCTAGGTTCTCACGTGCTTCCTCCCTTAATTTTGCACATTCTTTATCCCACCATCCATTTTTTCTCTTTGCTTTCCCGTCCTCTCTTATTTCTTTCCACTCTGCGGCTCGTTTTGTCGCTTTCTTTATTTCCTCCAGTATTTCCTCTATGCTCGTACCTTCAATCTTCTCTTCTTTCATTCTCTCTTTGTACCTTTCTTTTCCTTCCCTCGACCAATTCATTATTTTTCTCACTCTTCTCTTCTCCTCTCCTCTTTCACTCTTTCCTTTTATCTTTATTGTTACGGGTTGATGATCCGAGTCTACCGTCTCTCCAATCTTCACTTCCACTGTTTTTTCCCATACCTCCTGGTTTCCGATTATATAGTCGATTACCGACTCTCCCCTTCCTCCTGTAAATGTGAACTCTCCATCGTTGTCTCCTTTTGTTCCGTTCAATATTCCTAATCCTCCTTCCTCAATAAACCCCAACAGTTTCCTTCCTTCTGTGTTAATTTCTTTGTCTTTCGATTTTCTTTTTTCCCCCATTATCTCTGTTAGTCCACCTTCTTCTCCAGTTCTTGCGTTAAAGTCACCTCCTATTATTATTTGCTCCCCTAATCCTCCTTCGTTTGTAAATTCCTTTATATGCCTTATTTTCTTCTCAATATCGTTGTTCACATATACCGTTATAATCTTCCACGTTCCCTCCTTCGTCTTTGCTATTCTTTCTACAATTCCTTTCTCTTCTCTCTCTTCTGCTCCACCTGCCACTATTTCCTTCTTAACACCAGTTATTATTCCTCCTCTCGCTCTTCCTTTCTTTTTTTCTTTTGTCGCAGGTTGGCATTTCCATACGTATTTACCTGATAACATTCCTTTGATTTTGCGCCAATCTTTTTGTTCTACCCACGTTTCTAGCATCGCTATTATATCCCAGCTTTCCATCTCTTTCCAGAATTCTTCGTTTTTTCTCTTTAGTCCAGCTATGTTCCAAAAGCCTATGCTTATTGTACTCTCTTTTTCTTCATATTTCTTGCTCTCTTCCTTGTTCCCTCTCCATATTTCCTCTCCTCTCCCTCTGCTTCTTGTGTCTCTTCCCTCGTTTTCTCTTTTCTTTCTTTTACTACTTTCGAAACCCACTCTCTTCCTCCAATTTCCCTTTACTTTCGTTCCATTTCATCTCTTTATTATCTACCCACATCTTCTGGTATCCGATCGAGGTTTTCTTTCCTGCTTCTCTTTCTTCTTTTGCTACTCTTCTTATCTCTTTTTGTATCTGCCCTTCCAATCTAGTTAGATCGTCGTCCAGATAGCATTCATATTTTTTACCCAGTTCCTTTCTTTTTGTCATTATTTCTCTTTTGTCCTCCCAGCTCTTACATTTCATCACTGTCATTTTATTTCTTCCTTTTCCTATTTCATGTACTTGTTCGATGGTTATTTTCATTTCTTTTATTTCGCTTATCATCTTCTCTACTTTCTCTTTCTTTCCTGCCTCGTTTCCTATCTCTGCTCCTCTCACAACTATGTTATTTCTCCTCCTTCTTCTCTCCGCCATTTCCATATTTCTTTCCATCTCTTTCATTTTTTCCATTAAGTATCTTCCTTCGCTCTTGTCTTCTATGTTCAATTCTGTTTTTTCTATTTTCTCCTCTACCTTTTTTATTCTTTCCTCCAGCGACTTTTTTTGCTGTTCCCAGATTTCCTCTCTCCTTTTAAATTCTTCTTTCAGCTCTCTTATTTCTTTTTTTATTTCTTCTTTATCTTTTCTTCTTTCTACTTCCTGTTCCTCTAGTTTCCTTAGAATTTCTTTAATCCCCTCTGCTGCCATGCTTTCTTCCTCTTCCTCTCCTTTCTTTATTTTATTTGGTGGTGATCTGTCAACCTTCCTTGTTTCGTTAAATTTCTCCAATATTTCTTTCTCTGCTTTGGCTATTTCCTCCTCTACTCCTTCTCTTTTCCTCTTCTGTATATAATCTTTGATTGATCCTGTTCCTAAGCTGTCTGCTCTTCCTCTCAGTTTGGCCAGTCCTTCCGCTTTTGTTGGTCTTCCCTTCGCTTTCTTTCCTTCCTCTTCTCCTTTCTTTTCCTTGTCACCTCTTTGTCTACTTTCTACTATTCCTTCCTTTTCTGCCTCCATTCGCCACCCTTACTTACCGTATATTCGCCGCGGCTCCCTCTACGTTTACTCTTTCCGCCCTTTTCACTTATTTCTATCCGCTCCTTCCCTGTTGGTAATTTACTTCCTTCCTTCCCCCACAGGCGGCGCCCTGTCCGCCTCCTCCGCTTACGTACCTTCTCCTGCCGCCCTAACCTTCTCACCTGTTGACTTTTTACGTTCTATTAATTATTACCTTCCCGATTCCTACTTTTACTCACCGTATCTCTGCTTATTGCCCTGCTTCCGCTCTTTCCTACTTCCTACAACTCTCCTTCTTTCTCTCCACTATACCGCTCCTTCTAGCTCTCCAAATTCCACCTGTCTCTCCACGTCTACTCTCCTCGACCGCCGGCTCAGAACCTCTTTTGTACATACATAATTTCTTTGGAATAGATGCAATGGTACGTACACGTTTGATTAAGATCAATTTAAAATTATACTTAGAGACGCATAAAATTTTCTAAAATTTTTATTGCATTACAGTGTATGAGTTGGAGCTGGTATCTATCAAATGATATGCAGTTCTATGTAATCGCTATGGCAGTGTTGACTTTGTCGACTATGTATGTTAATTAACCAACTATTATAGTTAATGTCTTCTTCGAGTATACTTGAATAAATATATTATAAATTTCAGATACTTCTATACCGCTGTTACGATATTGAGTGCACTTTTAATAGGCTCAATTATTCTCAATGGTTATATTTCACACGTTTACGAATATGTCGCGACGTAAGTTACTAAAGTATTTTACTTATTGAGAAATCGAGTTAAGAGAATGCTCTTTCTTATTCTTATTTCTTGTTACAGATTTGATGAACAGCAAAAGCTTGCAGATATCGTCTATATCCCACCATGGATGAGAATAAATCCATTTATCATTGGGATATTTACTGGTTACATTTTGACAAAATTAAAAAATAATTTTGTTTTAAAAAACGTAAAGTATTTTTTTTTTTGTTTTATATAACATATTTCATATATAAGTTAATTATATAGTATCGCATAAATAAAAATGTATTATATTAATTTGACATACATTTCAGAAACATATAATTTTGTGCCTTTGTCGGTGCCTGGCTATTATTTGCAAAATATTTGTGATATATTTGTCTTACAATCGATACACATCCGTTCTAGCTACTTCTATTTATGTAGCACTAAACAGACTACTTTGGGCAATATGTATTGCATGTATTGTAATAGCATGCTCCATTAAAAACCAAGGTTCGTTTATTCATTAATACATAAATCTTATAAAAAAATCGGCATATTTTTAATATATTAGTGATATATTTTAACTTGCTTTGTTATAGGCACCGTTAATCAATTACTCGCGTTCAAGGGCTGGATTCCTCTTAGCAGGCTGACATACTGCGCGTATCTTTTAAATCCGGTCATCATCCAGTCGATTCATTTATATAGTGAAACATCGATTTATTTTGAATTTCTGTCCCGTGTAAGTATACATATATTTGAAATTTCAGCATTAATAGAGGAATATCGTATAAAATGCATTAATTTTTTTAACTTTTGGTTCCAGATTCTTATGACTTTGGGATACATTATAATCACTTACTTTTGTTCTTATGTATTATCTTTGATGTTCGAGATGCCCTATATTTTGTTAATAAGAATGTTTATCGAGTACCGTAAAAAGCTGCAAAAAGCCGCAAAAAGCCGCAAAAAACATAGAAAAAAACATGGAAAAAAAATATAATCTTGCATACAAATATAAACTATACCGGTGCTTGGGGAGTGCATCGAGATCCTTCGATATATCCAGATCCAGATAAATTTGATCCGGACCGATTTAACGCGGACGCGGTAGCAGAAAAGCATCCTTTTGCTTATTTACCGTTCGGGGAAGGCCCACGAAACTGCATTGGTGAGAATATAAATTAATCCACTAATGCATCTAATATACATATACACAATATACATATGTATTTAAACTATTGTTAGAAACTGTTTCTGTAGTCATGTGTATGTTTATCTCTTATGGTATTTACATTTAAATTGACAATGGGCATTTCAGTACTTGCATTTAATTTCTAATTGCACTTCAAAAATATGTTTTTTCGTAACAAAAGTATTTTTGTTAGTAAAATATAATAGTAATAGTTATAATAATAATAATATTAGCTATTAAAGGATATTTTTAATATTTTATTTAACATTAATTTGATTATAATGAATTAATTGTGCAAATATTTTATCAAAACATTAAAGGTATATATATTTAATTTAATATTACATTTAATTTAAAAATGTTAGTTTAAATACCCTCTCTCTTTCACACAAAAAATATTTATAAAAATATTGAATTAAGTTATTGATTTGATGTTGTATTGTTTTTTACATAATTTATATATATATATATATATATATATATATTTAAAAATATATAAAACCTAATATATCTATCTAATGTATCTCTTCTTGCCTAATATATCTATTTTTCTTTCCGAAATATCTTGCATTAATATTATTAATTTTCAGCTTCGATATATTTGGCTGAGTGTTCTGTCAAAATACAAATTCAAACTTCATTCCCAAACTTCAGTCCCGCTTATTTTCAATGGAAAAACTGTGACTCTCTCAGCGAAAGGCGGTGTATATTTTATTATTGAGCCACGATGAAATAATCGCGCTTTGCATATATTAAATATTTGAAGTCGAATATCTTATTTGAATAATACATGCAATTTATAATGTTGCATATATAATTTTATATAAAAAAAAATATTATATGTAATTTTATTGATTATTGTATATTGTACATTATTGTACAATAATATAATTATAGTATAAGTTTATTTTACTTTATTTTTAATTTACACGAGCAATCACAACCAAAAAGATTGTTAATAAATTTATTATTTATATTACGATAGTGTCAATTATATTGTCTTACTGTACTAAATTTAGCAAAACTCAAAGGAAATGACCAATACGCGAAAAAATAAACAAAGCTTTGATGTAAAGCAATGATCGAGAACAACATAAAATATGACGTTTTAAATTCTGATTTTTATAACAGATGATAATCTGAAATTCAAAATTTCGCAAAACTATGTTAATTTGACTTGTCATTTCATATCTAAGACGCGAATGTCGACTTTTGTGAGCAAAAATTTTACAAGTAAATGATCATTGTCTTAACACATCGAAACTTTTTACACTTTTATTCAATAAATTATATTATTTGTACTAATTAGTAATAATTTCTAATACAAAATTTTAAATAAAAGATCTTCTGAATTTTTTAACAATCTTTTAGTAAATAAAAACTACTAAAGTTTTAAAAAGTAAACGGTTTACCAAACGCGTCATGATTTCCGTCTTATTATAAGTACACATCCGATTACATTTACACATTTAATATTATACAATTAATACTACATTATTTTAATACAATTAATATTACAATATATATTTTTGAAATACGTATACAATATATACCAAGTACATAATATTTTACAATGTCTGTAAAAATTGGTATTACTTAATATAAAAATTATTTAATATAAAAAGTTAGTAATATTTAATGTACTTTTTGAGTTATTATATTAAAGTAATTACTATCACATTTTGTCTACAATCTTTTTAACTATCGAATTATATCCCCTTGTCCCTGCCTACCGAATCTCTACCTACTCATATATCCCTACCCATATTCCGATATAGAGTCCTACCTACCCGTATTACAATCTTCTATATATATAAAAATGAATGTATGTATGTATGTATGATGTATGTATGTATGTATATATGTATGCATGTCCTTTATGCACTCTTAAACTATTCGACTGGTTTTGAAAGTATTGTATATGAAGTAGGGGTAGAATTTTCCGGGGAGTGTTATAGAATGTATAATTTTTCGTTACCGATCTTTTTGGGAACCGGTATTCGAAATTTTTTCATTTTTTCAGGAAATAATTGACCGAATCTCAAAAAATTGTATATGAAACGGGGGTAGAATTTTTCGGGGAGTGCTATAAAGTGTATAATTTTTCGTTACCGATTTTCTGGAAACCGGTTTTTCTAATTTTTTTTAATTTTTGGAAAATAATTGGCTGAATCTCAAAGAATTGTACATGAAATGGGGGTAGAATTTTCCGGGGAATGTTATAAAGTGTATAATTTTTCGTTACCGATTTTTTTGGAAGCCGGTATCAGAAATTTTTCAAATTTTTCGGGAATTAATTGACCGAATCGCAAAAAATTATATATGAAGTAGGGGTAGAATTTCCCGGGGAGTGCTATAAACTGTATAGTTTTTCGTTACCGATCTTTTTGGGAATCGGTATCTTTTTGAAAATTGGTTACGAAATTTTCCAGAGCGGGAGAAAGAGAGAGAGAGAG